CGATACAAAGACCGACTAAGCCCTTGCAGTCGAAGTGAAGTCCTGATAGGTCGCTTGCTGATCCGCGACAGTCCTGGCAAAGCTCGACTCCCTGCTTGCTGAAACTTGTACTTTCCAAATCAGGACCCACCTGTTGCGGCATCTGGAGTTGCAGCTATCCTCAGGCACGGCACATCATCTCCCTGACTGGATTGCTTGGCCAAGCCACAACTGCTGCCTGTTGCAATGAGCCTGGGTCTTGTCTAAGCTTCCTGCGAGGCATAGCTGCAGAGCCATTTTTGCATGCTTCGAGTTAGCCTATGCTACTGCGTCGCGTGCTTTCACCTTTTGGCGAGGTGATCGGTGAGAATTCAAAGGCTCCAGTCCAATGATCGCCGGGACAAACGTACACGGCATACACGATTAAGATCGACAGACCTCATGACAAGTTGAGATCGCATGTCTGTGAGCAAAAGCTGGCACGCAAGAGCGGGACGAGGGGCCCAGATGATGATGGGCCGCCTTGCCTGCAGATGCCTCATGCTGAGGCCACTTGTGTTTCCCTGTTACATGCAGATGCTGCAGCAAATGGAAACAGGAAGACGCGTGAGCGGGCTTGAAGCTCATAGTTTGTCCCTCAAAGGCGACGCGCGGCTGAAACAGCGGCCGATCTCTGCGTATGGCGCAGGCGAGTGATCAGCGGAATACCAGCTGTCACAAGCGATTTGGACCACTCGTCTCTGCCTCCAGGAGCTTCAGGGGGCTCGGGGTCCCAAGTGGTCGAGCCTCTGAGAGGATTCGGACAAGGACAAGCTTAAAGAAGCACCGAGTCGGCTCTGGAGCCCCGTAAGACAACTTGAAGAGATGCTGTACACCGGCCTCTCGGCAGACGCAATAGGTGTGATGCAGCTTGACCTAGACATGCCAAGCATTCTACCAGAAGCCTCCAGAGTGGTGCGACGAGGATCACCAACACCTCGCGGGGCAGAGAGTCGGTAGCACCAGAAACTTGAACCCTCAAGAGATCACGGGCTTCTCACTTACAATTTAAAGACGCTGATGAGCAATCCGCTTTTCACCTCGCAGACTTCATGGAAAATCAAAAAGCGACGCAGCAACTCTTCAAACACCTACGGAGATCGGCGCCAAGAGTTCGTTTTTTCTTACAGCTGCTGCAGCACTAAAGTTACTGGAGCCAAGGTCTGAGCATTTTCGGTGCGACGTCGATGCATGTTCTAGCGCGAATCTTGTATATAATTCTATGTAAGCATCTCCTTCAACCGGAACTTGAGAGCAGAGGAGCAGACGAAAGCTAGGGGGAGAGATGTGGCAGATGTGTATTGCACATGCGAGCAGATGCTGGTAAGCGAATGTGAATGTTTCAACGCTCCTTGTCCTTGTGTGTCCATGTTGTGTTACGAACTGGCTCATAAAACCTCAACCTCCGCTGAACGATGCATGGCAGAGCTTGTTCATCAACGCCGGAAACTCTGAAACTTTCCTACAAACGCGTCGATGCTTGTGGAACATGAATCAATCTTCTCAGTTGTGCAGATGTACGCCGCCAGGCACCCGTGGAATTCCGGGCGCGACACCCTCTCAGTCACGGTCGCTGATCTGAGATCGCCATCAAAATTGTGGCCGGGCCCTTCGCCCTTCAGGCCAGTTGCATGTCCAGCTTGGTGCCGGTGGGCGGGACACAACCGCCCACACGGCGGTGCACCAGGCGTTCTCCTTCGATCTCCAGGGTCCCCTTCCCCACATTTTGTCCTGCACTGCACGGAAGCCCTCAATGGTGCTTCCCGTAAGTTGAGGAGTGTAGCCACTCCATCCTTGGCTTGCAGGAGGATGGCATACAGGGGGTCCTGATCGACGTGACGACGCGCCTCGCTTGCGACCCTGCGCATGCTGATTGCGGCGTTGGTCATGCCCCAGCTCTGCTCGCTCGCGCTCTCGGTCCGGATGTAGAACATAGCCTCATTGATGGGAGCGACCATGGCTAGAGATTCTGCAGGATCGAACTCGGAGCCATGTTGGGAGGAGGGGCTCACGGGTTGGCGTCTTCTCCAGTGCTCCCGCTCACCCCTCATGGTGTGGAGGTAGGCGTGGCCTTTTTGTAAGTTGGCTTGGGAGGAGCAGCTACTCTACACCCAAGCAGCGCGGAGGACGAGAGAACCGACAGTGCACGTCACTGGGGTGGTACACCCCCGCAGAAAGCGAGACCCCTCCTTTGCCGTCGGACCACCTCGAAAGGCCCACCACCTCAAGGCGGAAAGCTCGGGTGCTACACCCCCCAAAAGGGGTGCGGGTGCTCCACGCCCACCACCGAGGGTGGGCTGAAGCCAGCTCCCCCACCGCTGGCGTATGGGGAGCCTGCTCCGAAGACTAAGCCTCTTGCCACAGCTGCATCAGAACGTGAGTCGGTGGTAGCTGCAGCGAGCCTAACCGACTGGCTCGGACTACTTGCCATATGGTTGCGGGGCTGTCCGTCGCACCGTGAGAACAGGACTCGGCTGCTAGAGCATGCCAGTGATTGGCAGTGCAGCAACTGCGGCGAGGAAAGTGGTGGTGTTCTCCGGGCATCTGATTCACCTTGTCAACCATTCCACGTTAGAGGACGAGCCTTCACCGCCGGAAAGGCGCCGCCTTGGGGGTGCGACACTAAAAGTGGAAGGACTCAACTGGGACCGGGCCAAGCCAAAGGCCGCATAAGGCCCCAGAGCCGCGAGCGAGGCAACAGTGCCGAATGCAAGCGGTTTTCAGTCTGCTGTGTGAGGTACGGACCCTTGAAAGGAAGGGAGTGGGGGCCTTCCTGACTGATCAGGGGAACCAAGGTGCGGGCGGCGGGGTGCCCAAGCTAAAGCCCCGGCAAGCTCGAAAAAAGCCGGCAGTCGCGATATTGAAATACTTTGCGGTTTTGGAAGACAGCAGGCGGCAGCCGGAATTTCAGGATTGGAAGCAAAGGCTTTTATGCATCAGGGTTGTTCGGCTCATGTCTGGACAGATCTACATGAAACTGTGGAGGCGATCTCGTGCAGAGACCATACTGTATAGCTGCAGGACGTAAAGTCCATTCCTGTCGTACCCTAGATGTAGCACATGCAGAAATGATTGGCCCTCATATCTCCTGTCGTACGCTACCGACGAAGTCTTGGCAACCTCGCGACACAAGGGAAGGTAGCAACTGCCGGCTTCGCCTCAACTGCTAGCCTTGACATTTCCACATTCTTGGGGAGCTTGTGCCGGCAAGGATGGCTCGAGCTGCGACGTGGCCGACTAACCACACGAAAAGCCAAGCAGCTGGTGTCGTTAGGACTGAGACCTGTGATCGCTTTGGACTTCGGACTGTAGATGTTGAAGAAACGGCGTTCTGCTCAGATCGCGCTCCTGAAACCGAAAACTGTCGATACTCTAGCGGTCGAGGCACCGGCGATCCAGCGATTTCAGGCCGTTGCCCTCCTAGATTCATGAGGACAGCTTGGGAAAACAGTTGTCATCTTCGTATGGCCCACCTGCAAAAGTAACACTATTGCCCAGCCGTCCTGAAGATAAACCTGGGGAAAACAGAGTGTCCTTTCGGCGACTGGTATAACCGTCTTGCCGGGAAAATACCTTACCCATGCGATATGCAATGGGCGGATCTGCCATGGTATAGGCAACATCAACATCAGGTCCGAATTCCCAACTCTTGGACCATGAAGTGTCTCAGGCAGCTGCCACACAGGCGCAATCTTGATCCACAGTTTTGGGTTTATGGCTTGTAGGATCCATAATCATCGATTGCTTTGAGTTGGCGGGGCAAATCTTTTCTGCAAACCATTCATCTACCCTGGAGTATGACCAGCCTGTTCACCGCAGTACTGCTGCCGTTCCAATCAACTATCGTGACGTAACGCTCAAGTCCGTCGACTGGCTCGCGTTTTCGCTGTGAAACTGGGTGAAACTGCTCCATAGCAATCGCTCTCAAGGAGGTGGAAATCGAAATCTTTGGGGCCTCTGAGGCATCTTGCATGCAGACCTACAACGGCTGCTCATCATAGTTGGTGTCACTGTATACTTCTTCACGCCTCAAGCCGCCAATCAACTACATGGGAGTCAGCTACTGAAGCTACTGCATGTCGACTGGCAGGATCTTGTCCTCACCATGCGCCATGCTGGACACGAAGTTGCTGAACAGCCGTGCAAAGGCCGTGGGCTTCGCAACAACTGAGCCGCCCGAGCTGCTCTTCGAAGCGCTTCGATATTGCCACAAGTCTGTGACAGTGCCCTGCTCGTTCATGGAGTTCACATACTGTCTCGCATACGCTCGTGCGCAGGAGTATACATCCCAAAAGCGCTCTATGCAAGCCGAGAACTCGGACTCGAGCAGGCTTAGCAGGTTGGACTCGGTCTTTGTAACGAGATCACCACAGTGGCACCAAGGCGTCCAGTAAGTCATCTCACTGATCCACCGGTCCTTGGGAACTCTTGAGCGACTCATGTTCGCTTTGTATAGTACAACTCCAAAGACCACGAAATAGCCGCCACGCGCAGCTGCCCCCGATTCAAAGACGGCCTCACCTGCCGGAAAGCTGGCCTGAGAGATTGCGCGGGTGGCCAGGTACTCCAGCACAAGCATGTCAGGTTCATTACCGGACAGTCTGAGTGATAGCAGATATTTCGAGAACCCAACTTCTCGTAGCTGAGTCTCGTATCTAGCGAACTGCAATTCACGCTTCAATGGTTTCGAAAGGAGCTGCAGCACAGGTACCTCAGACTCGGGACGACCTTCTTGATTCATGGCATATGCACGCTCCAAGAACAGTGTTATACGTAGCCGAAGGCTAGCATCCACTCCGGCATGTGCAAGGAAACGTCTCAGCTGTCTGAAGTGCTCCCGGTGCTCGTCCGCAACCTTGCTCAGCTTTGCGCTGTTGCTTGTGATGGTATCCAAGAGCACAGCAAAGATGAGAAGTGCCACAGCTGCAGCCATAATGCCAAAGAGAATCTCCAAGTCTGTTTTCGGGTCTGTTTCGGTGACACCAAAGCCGAAGCAGCAGAACATCCAATAGAGAGATGTGGTGTACCTGTAAACGAACGATCTGTCAAGCGCGCCGGCTCTGGCGACCCATCCGTCAGCCACATCGGCAGCGCCGACGTAGTACCAGGAACAAGCCATGCAATGCTGTATGAGCCTGAGCATCTCATAAAGCAGAACTGGGCAAGGATCGCTTGTTGTGACGAAAGCAGCGGCAGCAGTAGCACCACCAGCATCAACAACAGCTTCCAAGGGTTCAAGACGTCACCTGCCCCAATACCTTGTCTGTTTTGCCATTGCTGTTCGTGCGGTGGCGTTGGCGGCTGTGGTGGCTGTCTGGTGCTATGGTGGTGGAGGGGACAGTCGTGCAATCGGTTTTGGTTGTTTTGGCGGTGGTAGTGGTGGCGGCGGCGGCACGCGGCGGCGGCGGGGGTGCTGGCGCAGTGGCGTCGGCTAGTTGGGGTCGCGGTGCTGCTGCTGTTGTTTGTCCTGCTTAGCTCCTGCTGCTTAGCACAACTCGTGGCATGCTGGCTCCAACGTGCGGTGACATTAACAAACCACAGCCATTCTCAGCGCCGCGAGTTGCCCCCTTCTGCCACCCGCCTTGCTAGGACGAACCTACGACGAAGGGTGTTTTGCCAGATCATCGCGGCAGTCCTATAGCCAACTATAGCCAACTCATAAATATTGAAGCCCAGGCACAAGATTTGAACACAGACACTGACAATGTTCAGCTTTGCGACGAGCAGGTCTGACATCACGTGTCCTGGCACAACGCGAGCAGGCTTCGAAGAAACTTGTACAGTGATCCCTCGCCGATACAGACGTAATACTTAGGTTGTAGAAGCAATCGCCTACAATACTGCAAATGACTAATGATTGACACAGCAATATACTGGTTCTTATCAGTCTTTGGGTGGCGGTAGTGGTACTGGTAGTGGTAGCTGTAGCGGTAGCGGTAGCAGTAGCGGTCGCGGCGGTGGTGGCGGTGGCGGTGGCGGTGGCGGTGGCGGTGGCGGTGGCGGTGGTGGTGGCGGTGGCGGTGGTGGTGGTGGTGGTGGCGGCGGTGGTGGTAATGGTAGTGGTAGTGGTAGTGGTAGTGGTAGTGGTAGTGGTAGTGGTAGTGGTAGTAGTGGTAGTGGTGGTGGTGGTGGTGGTGGTGGTGCTACTGGCAGCGGCAGCGGTGGCAGTGGCGGTGGCGAGCAGTGGTAGTCAGTAGTGGTGGTGGTACTAGCAGTAGGAATAGAAGCAGCAGGATGAGCAGCAGGGATAGTAGCAGTCGTCGTCGTCGTCATCGTCGTCGTAGTAGTAGTAGTAGTAGTGGTAGTGGTAGTGGTAGTAATATTCATACAAGTATACGCAGGAATACACGTAGCAATAGTAGTAGAATAAGTAGTAGCCGTAGCAGCAGCAGTAGTAGCAG